GTCCAGGACAGATTAGAAAGTGTAATATTATCTATAAACTGGGAAAAAAAAAAGAAAAAAAAAAAAAAAAAAAAAAAAAAAAAAAAAAAAAAAAAAAAAAAAAAAAAAAAAAAAGTAAACCTATGGTTAAAAAAATGTCAAAGAAAGGTAGGTGTATTTTGTTCTCAGAGTTTACAATTCAGTGTAACTCTTCAAATGAATGGAGATACAATATTTAAATACAAATAATCAGAAAATTTTGGGCCAATTTGTGTCCTAAGAACACACCAGTGCCACTGTTGCCCATTAAAGTAGTTGTTACTGGGGGAAGACTCTGGACACTGTAGCTCCAGAATGACCACATTTATGTTAAAGTACATACTGTGGTATAAAGCCAACTTCTGGGAAAAAAACTTCAGATTTCCCACTAAATTATCCCTTCCAGTAAAGATGCAATATTAAAAAACACATCTATTCTTCTCATATTCAGTGCAGGACTTTTAAATAAAAATATCTTGTGCAAACTTTATTTAAGAATACAATGTTTATTTAACATATCAAAGCCTGTTATATGCTAGTATTGTCATCTGAAATAAAAGTGTTTCTATGATATCTTACTCTACTACTTCATGTTTCATTTCACTTGAAAGGTAATTAAGTATTATTTCAAGTAAATTTTTTAGGTTTTTTTGTTTTTCTCCAGAGAGAGCAAAACTGGGTATTATTTATGCAATGATCTAACTTTGAAAACCTTGTAAGATCCCTGCATTCTCAAGTGGAATAAATTGATAGTTCTCTCTAAAGGTTGCTGAGAAGAGAAAATTAAATCTAAAACCACATTTAGATTTCAAAATACTATGAAATTTAAAGAACTAGCTAGCAATTTAAAATATTTTGTCCTATGCAGTTCTATGGAGTGAATAGATCTGTACCCCTGCTCCCTGTTAAAACCATGGAAAAAAATGAAAAGTGGGAGTGGTCCAGCCCTTCAAACAAATTCTGTAATACTTGCAAGGCAACTCTTTAAATGCTACTGATTCTTACACCAAGTAGTAATGATTTTGACGTATCATTTAAAATTTCAAAGGCTAAAAAAGATCAGAGTAACTTTGTTTTTCCTCCAGAAATGGATACATATCTGATTTAGCATAGGTTCCAGGAAGTGGAAGAAAACATCTAAGGAGCCCTATTAATATACTAGCAGGAGCGTTTGAAGGACAGTGTGCCAACATGGAAATGAGGGATTTTTGGATGCCAGACACAAAGCTTGAAAATATGTTCCATGCTAGAAGATGATCAAGAGATTGCATGTGAGGCAAAAATACATTAGAGGTAATTCTGTACATAAAGAGCTGTGTGAAAATCACTTCAGAGAAATGAAAGACATCTGTTGGTAGAGAGGGAGACTTTGTACCTATATTCCTCATAGTGTCTTCTCTATGTTGTTTTTTAGTTAAAGTGTTCCACTATTTTATGGCTGTACCTACCTAGCTTTCTTCCAGTTCTAAGAAATTTAAAATTATTGGTTTTACACTGAAAGAAAGAAGATACATTCCTATTGTACTTTTAACTAAGCTAACAAAAGTTAACAAAATTTTGACTGCCTTGGTGAACTGTACTTCTTATGGACTTTGTTATGTGTTCAACCATTTGTTTTAGAAAGTTGATTTCAAAAGATTGGGGGGGTTTTGTTGGGCTGTTTTGGGTTTTTTTTTTTGTCATAACAACATGATTCTGTCTTTATACATAAAAAAATGTTTTGTTAATTTTGTGGGATTTTGAAATCAGTTAAAGGGAAAATAAAATAAGATCATAGGGACCCAACACAACTTCTTCATACTTTAAAAATATCAAACAGGTTTTGCAAAATGCTTAGTAAATTTGAGTTCTATTTTGTACATAGAAACATCAAGGAAATGTAACAGTGGAATCACTTGTTATGTGGCTATGGCCTTGAGCATCCTAATTTAGCTTTGAAGTTAGACGAGTTTGGACTAGATGATCCATTGCATCTCTTTTCCCTCTTTGAACTCTTCTTTTCCTATGAATAGAAGCAGCAAAGAATATAACCAGAGATGGAAGACAACTTTCAAATTTACAATATCTGAAACTATTTTAATCTCAAAGTGTCATTTTTATTGCTTAGGTGGCATAATAGAGTAAGGTTACTTTTTTCCAGATGGTACAAAATATTTGGTATTATTATTTTACAAATATGTGGGGATAGGTTCAGGGGAGATTAGTATGGTGTTAGGTTGACAGCCGGATTAGATGACTTTGGAGGTATCTTCTAACCTTGATGATTTGATGATATTTAAAAGAAAATTAGAGTTTTTAAGTGGGTAACACAGATCCTAACTGCTATAGGCTCTAAAGCTTTCAGTCACCTCCCTACAGGAAATAGTGTTTGATTGTAAGGAATTTCTGTAAGCTTGCAGGGAGAATATACCCCAAAACCCATGTGAAATTATGTATTTCACTGAGATTCATAATGTCCTTGCTCTTCATCCTAAAGCTAAATACAAGCCCAAAGTAAATTCATTATGATATATTTAATTGAAATGAGAATTTAATGCAAAAATTCTAGGCTTCTGAGATTACAGTTATTTGAGAGTTTGCAGGGGGCAAGAGTGTTTTCTTTCTTTTATATACCTAAGAAATGTCTTCATCTATCTCATGATTCCACACATACAAACATATTTACAGCTGTAGAAACCTCACTTGCAAATGAATTTTGTTCAATAGTACCGCATGCAATGTATGCTATTCCAAACATGCAAAATATTTTTCCCTCTTAACACAGGGTGATATGACTACATTCTCCCAAGACATTTGCCCTTCTGATGCTGAACACCTCAGAGTAGCCAAAAGCCTTAAGTAGAGCAGTGACACCTCATTTTTGTGCACAAACTTGTGAGCATCTCATCTCCTTTGGACTTTGTATAGTTTAAACCTTTGGACTTGGTACATTTTAAATCACTTCTAGCTTTTCTAGATTAGCATTGATCAGAAAAGAGCATTACATCCAATGTGACTAACCATTAATTAAAAAAACTAAAATTAGTTGGGCATGCTTGCCCTCTGGAAGCTTTCAAAGGCATTCAAGTCTATTAACTGCATAGGAAATTTCAGCATTGTTTTGGATATAATACCAAATTTCAATGGATCCTTAAAATTCATGATGACATATTACTTGAGCTATGCAGACTAGATTTACATTATAAATGCCTGAATCATATTTTTAAAAACCTCCTCTTGTTCCATTTGGCATACAGGTGAAAAGGGAGAGATTAGCTCTGTAACCCTGTTTCTTTAAGTTTGGCTGTGGGATTGTTCCTTCATTATTTTCAGAGTGTTTGTAATCATGATCTCAGATTAATTGAGAAATAACCAGTGCCACCTCATAGATTGTCAGTGGTAGGGCCAGAGTGTGGGATCCTTACTATTCTAAAAATGCAAGACCTCAAAAATAATTGGGAAAAAATTTCAGCTGTACTTTCTGAGACAGAGACTTGCTGAATACAGTACTCAATATCTGTAAACACATCTGCAGCTCCAAACAACTGCAAGCAAACCTTCCCTGAGGAATTACACTCCTTGAGATTCAAAACTGTGAGATTTAGTATGTTTTGTGAGCACTGCCTGCTGAACTTCATATTCTGATACTATGTCCTTCACATTTAACTCAAAGCAGTAAAAGCTTCCCATCTAAATACAATAATTTCATTCAGTGGATAAAAATTGAACAGGTGGCAAAATCCTTTGTGCAATATCAGCACAGATGAATAACACATCAGAATTCTTGGTTGTTAATGGCCACCAGATGTCCAGCCAAAGAAAAAGAGACAAAAAATTATCAGCTCTGTGCTACTGAAGTTCTGTAAAAAAACCTTACTGTTGTATATAATAACAACAATCTTAAACAAAACAAAACAAAACAAAAAAGTAGAAATCTAATATCTAACAGGATCATAACAGTCATTCAGTCTCATCAATTTTTGAATTAGGGATAAACACAAATTTCCAATGCTGTAGGAAACAATCATGTATATGTTTCACTCATAATGAGAAACAAGTAATTTGAAGTCAGTCAGATGGGCAAGGAATCATTGAAAGGTAGAGAATTAATCTTAATATACTCTTCTTTTAAACATCTGAATGACATGTGAAACAGTCAAGAAATATTGAGATTTAAAAAGTTTAAAACATGATTTTTAAAATTATATCAGACAGAAATACTCTAAAACAACCAGTGATATTTATATAGAGCATCCAGGCTTCATGATAACATCCCAACAGGTTGTGTGTATAGGACACACTGAAGTGATGTGACACAGAACATCACTCAGAAGAAAGCTTTTCATTTTCCCACACAGATACACAAAAAAACCCAATAATGTCTAATATATTCAGGTTTTTTTTCCAGATGTCTAATTATCTAGCTCTTAATAACTAAAATAGTCTCTGGAAACTGATACTCTGAAACTGAGAAGTCAGCTTTATCTACAGAATTTCAAACTAAATAGTCATGAGGCTATAACAGGGATGTCATAATAGGCTAAAATACTGATTTTTATTTACTGTTTTCTATTCATTTTTTCCTCAAGTAAAGACCTGTAAGCCTCTAGAGAATACCAAAACCCTGTGTGCTACTCTACTTGCTATATAACATTAATACCTACACTTACAAATAAATCAGATAGAGGCAGGCAGCACTTCAACAGTCTCCTCTGAGGAGCTCCTCTACTTAATTATATGTGTTTGTAGCCACTGATGTGAAGCTGAATAGGTTCAGCTGTGTGGACTCTGTGTGTTTTCCCAAAAAAGACAGAGCTACAGAATAATGTCATTTGGCTCTCTGCAACAGTTTGTAAAACAGAATTAGCTCTTTCTAAAAAACAATACAATATCATCTTAATTTCACTGAACACTTTTCCTGAAGCAATACTGAAGTAGAACCTCTTTACCAATAGATACTTCAAATAAATTCCTTTTTTTTTTTTTTTTAATATTTTGGATTTGCTCAGGAATTCAGAATCAAAAAAGGATTAAAAATACTTAAGGTGGCATGGTTTCCAGATAACCAGTAGGTTAACAACTCTCTTTACTCTTCTCTCCTGCAAGGAAACAGAAATTGATTGGAACTCTCATTTTGTTTCAGTAGCTCTCAGAGTTTAACTACAGGAGTGCACGAACTTTACATGAGAGGGATAGCTCAAAAGATCCAAAATTTTAGATAGAGTTTATTCATTTAATAAATAAATGCTTTTCTATTCTGAAAGATTACTACAACTGCAAGCAATAGGAGAAAAATCCACTGTTAGAAATTACTTTGTAACAAGAAGCAATAAAATAAGTTTTCTTCCAGAGTTTTCTTTTTGAATACAGTTCAGTTCTCAAAAGTACTTTTATATTAATAAACAAATCCTTCATACTCATAAAGTTGTTACAGTTCTCCCATGAGTTCAATAGCATTTATTCCACACTCAGTTTCAGTATGTTTATACCATAACAGTCATCTAATATAAAAAAGTAATGCAAAAATGAAGTGTATTTTTAGGCTTTCTAAAAAACATCTTCTCCTGATTTAGAATTACATGTATGGAAATGATTTTTTAGAAAAGTATTGCTGGATATATGATTGGTGATAGGCCACAATTTTAACTATAAAAGGTTGGGGTTTTTTAAATACACATCCAAGTAATATGGAAAGAAGACTACGAGAAGGAAAATAAAATGCAGACCTTGCTTTCATAGCAGTGTTGCTGTGGTAATAAAGATATTTTAAGCTCTTTGTTATGCTCAGATTTCTCTGCTGTTTGCAAGTTTAAATGACTATTGAAAGCAATCTCTGCTACTGAAAGTAAATGGTGTCTCTTCTATAGTGGATAAGTGCTGAAGTACCACAGTGCTGCTGTGGCTAAAGATTGTTGTCCTTAAGAACATAATTAAATTATATGTGAATAGAGCAGTTAAATAGCTAGATAAGCAATGAAGATAAATCAGGTAAAAATTCAGAGATAAAACTCTGCCTTTCCTGAGACACTTAGCTGAAACCAAGGACCTGAACATTCTGTTTTGAATTGTTCTTTACTGTCTCTTCTGCCTGACATTAGTGAAAAGAAAGACCTTTCTTTAAAAACATAATTTTAAAAATACCCAGTGGGAGTAAACAGACTGTCTAGAATGGAAAAATCACAATGACTGCAATGATATCTCATCTTCACAGAAGCAAGATAAAGTGTCAACAACAGTGAGAAAGAGGAAAAAGGTGACACACAAAGATAGCAGGATTTTTGTCTTCCCTGATCCAAGTCCAATCAAGCAAGTGTGGAGGGGAAAACTGACAATGGAGAAAACAGGCAGTCTAGAATTAAAGAAAAAAATATTTATCTGACAGGAAGTCAAACTATATCCAGCTTTATCCAAACCAGCATGAATTATACACAATAAAGCCATTTTTCCTCTTGCCTTTGGAGACTGACTTGAAAGAGAATCTGGACACAGCTAAAGGTACCAACTGCCTAAATTCAAAGAAGTTTGAAAAGAATTGACTTGTCTTCCTTCTCTGTCCTTTCATATCTAATTAAAAATCTTTCACATAAGTACTTTTTCTTTGTGAACAGGTTGACTTTGACACTACAAGGATTTAATTTTTTGACTTCAAAGGACTTCACATGCTGACTTGTAATGTAAAGGCTAGTTTTATCCATAAACAACTAATATATCTTATCCACCGAACTTTGAGGATTTATACTTGTCTTTTGTTATAACAAACAGCTGTTTTTGAAATGGAGCATGACCTGCTTTAGATTAATCTAATTGGGTGCATTTTCCATTATTGTAGACTAATTTAAAGGGACTTCAAGGGTCCAGTTTCTCAGCTGCTTAATATCAGAGAGTTTTCAATAGAAATATGCAAATTTTAAAGATCTGTGTCTATACACATATGTAAAATAGAATTTGTTTTGCACAACAGTAAGATTTTAAAGTAGTCATTTATTATACAAATGTTTTTCAGCTTAAAATAGGGCAGAGTTAAAAAGAGTAAGATTTAAGTTCCAAATATGTTATAAATTAGAAATCATTTATCTCAACATTCATGTAGGCTTTTATATTTCAAACTTGAATAGCATTAGCTTGTTCTTCACGGTGTTTAGGGCTTATGTTAATTATTAGAATAAGCTTCACTGTAAATAAAGCTTATGTGAAAGTTCTATAACACACAGATAATAATACACAGTAATACACACAGAAGTATTTCTTGTATGCAAACACAAATTAAAGTTGAAAAAATATGTTTTGTATTGCTTTATTCTCATTTTCTTTATCATAGGTTTTTATATGTTTACTTACCATTTTCCAAAATTCTGTAAAGAAGAAGGAACACAGTTATTAGCATGAATATGTATTTTTACTATATAATTAAGCAAAAGTGTGAAAAAAAAATACACAGAAGAGATTAATTCCCTTCTAATGGGTTTGAAGGGCAGGTTTACCTTTGTACCAGGATCACAGAACTACAGAACTTCCTGCGCTGGAAGAGACCCACGAGGATAAGCATGTCCAACTTCTAACTTCAAAAAGGGAAACATAAAAGCTAAACCACTTGTCTAAGGGCATTTCCCAATTGCTTCTTGTACACTGACAGGCTTGGGGTTGTAACCACTCTCCAGCGGAATTTGTTCCAGTGTTTGACCATCCTCCCAGTAAAGAATTTTTATCTGATATCTAATCTAAACTTACAACTACAAATTTAGGCCATTCCATCATGTGACCAGACACCAGACAGTAGAGATCAGCACCCCAACTCTGTCCCTATCATGAGGAAATTGTCAACAACGCGGTCACCGCTCCATCCCTCCAAACTGAACAAACCCAGCATCCTCACCTATCCATACCAAGTCATGCTCTCCACTCTTTTCACCATGCTGTCCACCTGGGCTCAACACATTTTATATTTATGTCCTAATTATCTTGTGGAGCCCAAAACTGTACGGAATACTCCAGCTGAGGCCACTGCAGTGCTCTGGTTTAGCAACTGCCCATTCTCTGTACTGTGCTTAAAGCACCCCAAGATACAGTTGGCCCTTTTGCCTGCCAGGGAACACTCACAGTTCATTGTGAACTTCCCATCAAGCAAAATCTCCAGATCACTTTCTGCTGGGCTGCATGTGCACCTCTTGTCCCTCAGTCTCTACTTATATCCACATAAATATACTTACATTCTTACAACCATACAAGTATACTTACATACTCATATATTACACTGTCCCAGGTGCAGAATCCAGTATTTGTCCTTGTTTCACGTGGTTATACCATGAGGAAGAAAGCTAATGCTGCTTTTAATTAAGGAGAAACCTGAGAGAAGTATTTTCAATTACAGGTCATTCAAAACTATTATTACAAAGCAATTAAAAGCAAATTCTTTGAGTTATTTCATGCATATGTCAACGTAAAATATTTCTCCACTGAAATCAAAGCTGAGGATTGCTTTATTTTGTCAGCCAGACAATTTCCTCTCCCAGAGGAAAAAAAAAGTAGCAGATAAAAAATAGGTAATAGCACAGGATAGATGGCTGCTTAGAGTGGGAAGCCTTCAGAAAATTTTAGAGTCATTCCCCTTTTAATGTAATGAATATTTTGCTGTGCAACAAACCCTTGTTACTTCTGTGGATATTAGGAGCTTGGGACATTCTCTGGCTGCAGTAACCATCCTACTTCCTAGCAACAAAATGGCAGCCAAAATACATTTGTAGTACCCTTGAGAGATATTTTTAAAGGAGCTAGTTAATGAACCGTGTTATGAAAACCAGTCTGAAAATTGCTGTGAGTTAAAAATAAAATAAATAAATCCATGACCAAACCAAACCAACCACCCAACCCAAACACCCCAAACATAAGAAGCTGAAAATTTTCTTGCGTTCTTGGCAAAAGCTCTTGCTTTCACAGTCCTTGTCAGGAAATTGCTACAATTTAGACAGCACCTATGTCTGCAAATGTGATAAGAGTTACTGCTCAGAGGAATTAGTTTAGTATCTAAAGGAAATAAGGTCTACAGGGGCTTAACCCCAAATGAATCTTTAGACTACAGCATAAGCACTGCAAAAACAACAGCAGAAGAAGGAATTACTTCTTTACTGGGGTGAAAATGGGTTTTAGGTTCAGCACCTTGCTACAAAACCCAAGTCAGTGAAGAAAGTATCAAATGGTAACATGCTGGCTGCTGAAAACTGAAATGGGCCTTGGTCCCACACATGCAGCTTCTGTTAACATTGAAATCCAAGATGAAGTAGCCCAGATATAAGTGAAGATAAGCAAGCTACTGCTTACACGTTATTTAGGAATATATCTTTCTAACAATTCATTGTTTGATAAACTGAAAGAGCAACTTGAAGCATAATGTGAGGGTTTGGAAGATCTTAAGATGTCAAATATGACAGAAAGCCCTCAACAGAACGTTATTTTCATTCCTTGTTATAGTTTTCTTTTCGTTAAAGACAAAAGAAAGGTCTTTTTTACAACTGTAAGGTGAAATTCATAATTTGGGTTCCTATGCTGTGTATAACTTTATTGAGTTCATCTGTTATTTTAGAAAAAGTTATGCACCTCTGAGAAGATTATCCAGGCATTACATTTTTAAAAACACTGAAGAAACTGAAGTGACTTGCATTTCTTCACTCTTTTAGGATGAACATTAGAGGGCTTCATATACCACTTTAAGATTCATAAACATCCCGTCCTTTTTGCCTAAATTGTCTTTTCTGGCAGACAACGTGGGATTGTACCTTCATTTGTGAAGCAGTTGAGAGGAGAGTTTAATGGAAATAGTGCAATACCTCACAAAGATTCTGCTGAACAGCACTGTTCTCAGCCCAAAGGCACTCAGACCAATGTTATCATCCTCTTGTGATTATCCTAGATGATTCTGCCCCACTCTTCCATTCAAATTTATTTGGCTGTTCCAAAAAAAAAAAAAAAAAAGGTTGTCTCTCTCCTTTTGTACTTTTGTATCCAGCCTGATTACACACAGGGCCAAGAGCTAGATTCCCAGAGAGCACACCCATATTAGCATGTAGTGCTCTATCAGGGTCATCACTGTGAAGCAAAACCCTCCACTGACTCCCTTAGCACGTGGCTCATCCCTGGAGCCATCCCTGGCACATGAGCTAGGTTCCTTTTGACTCACTCTAAAGATCTGCTCCTGTTCCGCTGTGCTGCTTGCTAATGAAGACATAGCCAAATGCAAGTCAAAAACCTGATTAAATATTTATTTGGAGAATAGCTTTAATTCCAGTCTTTTAGGGAGGAAATCCCCTTAGAGATAGAAGGTGTGTGTTTGAACTTCTCAAGATGAGGCAGTGCTTAACCTGAATTCCTTTACAGCCTTACTCACTCTTACACTTCCCTTGTAAAAGGAAAGCAGCACTTCTTCAAAGGAAAGCAGTGGGGAATATTGTGTTTCAGTGAAATTTAACTCTGCTGGTTTGCTCTGGTATCATATTCCTCCCTCCACAACAGACACAGCAGAGCTGAAGCACTGCCATACCAGGCCACATCAAAGGTCCTCACAACCCACCATCCTGTCCCCAGCAGAAGCCCATAGGAAATGCCTTGGGAAGGGTATAATTACAGGACAGAAAGTAGTTCTTTACTCACTTGAAGCTATTACATTCCTTTGATCATTATTACTGTCCTTTCCTGAACACTTTGAAGGTGTAATACTTTTCAGGAGATAAAAATACAAGAACGAAACAGAGTTTAATAGATTTTAGGGAGTTGAAATGAAGACATATGTGTGTTTTTATCATTATTCTTTCCCTAATAATTTTTAATATCCTATCTGCTTCCAATTGCTACTGGACATGGAGTTTTAAAAAAAATATTACAATTCTAAGATTGGATTCCCAAATGACTGGTTAAACTGCATCCCTGCACAGGTGAAGTCAGGTTTTGGGATAGGAGTTCTCTTTACATCATTTCACACTCATCTACATCGACTTTCTTCTGCCATTTTTTTGCCAGCTGACTCAGGCAGACCTTTCACTGGTTCTCACAGTCTTACTCTCACTTTGAGTACTTTAGGTTGTTAGGACACCTTTTCACCTTACTTTCCATATTATTTCCCAAATAATAGCTGAGTATTCTGAAAAGCATAGGCTCAGTGCCAACCTCTCTTGGAAAACATGAAAATTTATTCCTATGCTTATTTTACAGGTTTGTGCGCTATTACTCACATTTTGTGTCAATGCAGCAGAGTACCAAGGCCAAATTCTTTAAGAGTAAAATTTAATTTTATTCAGCCTACTTATGACTTCCAAGCTACTTCTCAGTCCATAGGAAAAAAAAAAAAAAAAAAAAAAAAAAAAAAAAAAAAAAAAAAAAAAAAGAAAATTTGACTCTGTGTTCACTTTTGGCATTTGTATAAACCTGTCTGTCTAGACATCTTGTGTCAGCCTTTACAAAAGACTAACAGTGTCTCTCAGTTTATCTAGACAGCTCAGTATTATCAGCACAGACCCCATTTCTTACCTGTGCTTCTGAAATTTCATTTCCCTTGACCAGAAATCCTTTTCTGCAAGAGTACACATCTGAAAATGAAAGGCATAGGAAAAGCCAGAATTACTAGAGAATTCAGTTTGGTTCAAACATCAAATAATACTTTGGATCTTAAGATGATCTTAAACTAAAAATGATTTTTCATTTCCCCATGCAGATAGTATTTTTTTTTTATTTCAGAGGGAAATAGAGAGTTTTTTGTCACATAATCTTCCAGAGCATCCAGACTCATCAGTACTATAGTTTGTTAGTATCTAACTTGCCTGTCAGTCTGTATCATACTCAACAAGAGCATCTGCTACCATACTGCACAGAGAGAGCTACAGATTTCATGAACAGGTGTTCATTCAATACTGAATTTATTTAAAAGGTGTTCTGTTATCAATTGATATGCTTCCAGCAACACCAAGATTTTACAGGAATAAAAATATCGGGCACTTAATGAGAATTCTGTCTGTAACAGGGGAGAAGACTATGAAACATGTCAAATTCACTCCTTTGCAACATTGGTTAAAAAGTTTTCCTAGCAAATGCCCAAAACCAAGGCAGAAAAAGTTGTGTCTGCTAATAACAATAATCCTTCATTGCAGAATATCTGAATGAACCTCATGCACTAGGAATGCCAGTGGAAAATCTGAAGCCTTTTAAGGGTGCAGGAGAACTACAGGAAGCCAAAATCATTAGCCTTTATGTAACACTCCTTATGACTGACAGTAGTGAATATGCAAGAGGTGTATAATTGGATGAAATTTGCAGGTTAAATAACTCAAAATAAGAAGGGAAAAAAAATTGTACACATGAAATTTTTAGCAGGTATTTTCAGAATCCCACATGCTTATGGCCCCCATTTTTAAGACAGAGTTCACTTTATATCTCCCTTGACCTGATGAAATTATAAAATGCATCTTATGTAATACAATTACAAGAAAATGTGTATTTCTTGCCAGGATTATAAGAAAACTGCTTTTTTTTTAACCACAGC